TAGTAGAGACAAACGAATCAGTTAGTTGCGGACATTTAAAATGGTCACAAGACCAGAAAATACAGTTAGAGGTCATATCTCAGGAGATAAAAACAGACCGAAAAAGAGGTATTATAGGCAAAATATTGATAAGTCACTTTGTCAGCCCAATATTTAAACAGGCCTCCTGCTGCCAGCCTAGTCCACAGAGAGCAAGATACTAGCGTGAGTTGACATTTATCTGAGACGCGACTTTGGAACCAACCTTTGGCAGTGTTACGTAGTCACTGATCTCTCTGATTGGAAATCAGGATTTGCCTCATATAGGATGCGTAGGAAAGCTTGAAAACCGGTGGCACAATCAGGATCATCCTTGAAAACGCTCGGAAGCTGTCGACTTATTTCATCAAACTTATTCTGATTTTGGATCTGTTAGTGGAAACTGATAACCCAAGGCCCCTAAACTGATCAAGACCTAGAAGACTAAGTATCACCTAGGACATATAGCAGGCTGTTTTAGTGGCCATGGTGCGGAGGAAAACTGAACACTGAATCTTCCCTGCTAGTGAAAGCAAACTCATCTATTCTCTGGTTGCAGTTTTAAAATTTCTGAGGACGAGATTGCCCAATTTCACAATACGGCTGCCTGAAGGTCACCGTTATATCTGGTTCCGTATCGATCTGTGGCTGCACTGGATGTTTATTTACGCAGACAGTAAACTTCTGGCAGTCAAATGCGTGAGCATAGGTGTGGCTCATAGACACATCTGATGATCAGAAAGGGGACCCTTGGAGATAACTAGAGGAAGCCCGCTGCGAGTGCCTTTATGTGTGTCACTGGCAAAAGCCACCTTTGTCTCCAACAGCGTTACAGTTTAAATATCATGGCTCTTTGTGCGGAAAATATGTGACGGAATTCTAGGCCCCAGGATGCCAGGGAGATGATGGGGGCTACTTTTGAGGGCATTGGCTGGTATCTGGCGAGTAACTGGGACGACGGACAGTGGAAATGGGATGAAGTCAGCCTAGCCAGAAGGCGGTGTGAAAGGAGGGAGATTTCCGGCTAACTATAGGTAATCCATAACCACCCGGGCACCTAAATTGGGCTAAACTTGTGTGATGCCGGAAGTTGAGGAGTTATTGATACTCAAAAGATATATTATTTCGTGTAACCATAGGAGTCTCTTTCAAAAATTTCAGCATCCCCATTCTGATATAGGAAAATCTAGGTGGCTGTTGGTCACAGATAACTATAAGTTCTTTAAAGTGACTGTCCATCAAAGATTTCATTTCGCATTACCCACATGTGAGACATCTAAGACCCTACGTAGGATTCTAAATAAAGCAGGAATCAGGGTGGCATTCAAACCTACAAACTCACTCAGAGACAAGCTCTGTAGGCTGAAAGACCCCACGCACCCAATTAGACAAAATAATATAATTTACAACAAACCTTGCAATGACTGTGAGGCTAACTATTTAGGTCAAACTAGTATATTGGGGGTAATCAGATTGTCGGAACACAGGAATTTAGCTAAGGTAAGGATGATTGACCCCGAGAAGATGAGTAATTTAGAAAAAAGCTCAGCAATAGCACTGCATGCATTAACACAAAACCACAAACCCAACACATGCAACAGAAATGACTAAATGTAAATACCAGAAATATGGAAGATATTATTACCGCCAGTCAAATCAGTGGAGGATAATAAATAATCTACAAATTCAATTCAAACATATCACAACATCCTAACAAGCTGCTTATTGCGACTATAACAGCACTTGCCTTATTTCCCATTTGATTGTAATTGATGAATAACAATCGTATTATTATTTCAGAATGTACATTATCTCATATTGATTTTTATTCAAATATCTAGTCAATTCCAAACGTGCATATAAACGAAGGAAAAAGTTGTGTGAGTAACTTGATATGATTATGTGCAATGTTTATGCTTGAAACGCCATCAGTTAATATTGCTGTATAACGCTGTGTGATTTGTCAAAATAAAATCTTATCCATAATGGAGTTACACTCTACCACAGTGCCCAAGTTTTATACTTATATCAATAAATTGAAATGAAATGAGTGATCGCCAAAATATTGTCTTCAAACTTACTGTTGCAGGTGGAGTGGTCCGAGACGGTCTGACACTAAAATGTTTTTGGTGTGTAAGAAATTTGATAATTCTGAAGAGCTGTTCGAGAGATTTTTCTAATCTCATTGGATTTAGCATGCACGTGGTCATTTTCATATTCGCCTGGTAGAGCTACGATGATCGCACGTCGACAAAGAACGCGGAATGAGCGAGAGAAAATATGTATTCGCAAGTCTGTCAACTAGTAGCAACAATAATTTTGCTCTGATGTGCAGGGCGATTTCCAAAAAACAGAATCAACTCACAGACCAAATGTCGATCCATTAAAACTTAGCAGACGTTTTATGAAGATGACCAACTGATATGCAGTGTACAGACCCTCACTACCCAGATTGTTTCGGAGGTTAATGAATTACCATACTTCAAAAAATTTCAAGCAATTCACCTTAAGCTTTCCCGCATGGTCGTGCCCTGAATAACTGCTACTGTAGTCCCATTTTGTGAAGAAAGTTGTAAAGTGAATATTCATTTTATTGGTTTTTCAAGTAGATCCCCAGTGTTCTCTGAGCTTAAGTCTAAAGTCGCCAGACGAAACAAATGAACTCGAGATAATCCCTGAATTTAACGTTTAATGAAGTGTGGGTCAACCCGACATTCTTACACAGTGTGGGGCAGTATCAGGTCTTTGCGCTCTACAGGACTTGCTATAAACGCTAGTAACTCCTCAAGTGGTTACTGATTCAGAGACAGAAGAAAGAGATGAGTAACCAGGTAGGGACCATGTCTTTCTTGTACCTTCTATGGTTTTTCCCCCTACTGAAGCGAATCTGATGTCCAGTGTCCCTCCATCTCTCTGACTAAGCTTCCCTGCTTGACTCGCTCACAGACATGCTCATACAATACATGTTCAACACTACGTATTGTCTTCGTGATATATGTGCTTTACAAACCGACTGCGCTGTTAATATGGCGAATTACGATTCTGTTTTCCTTCTTCTCTTGTGTTAGTTTGTTTTCATCTAAGTGCTTTCTTTCAGCTTTTATTTTGTTCTTCCTCCCAACATTTTTGTTGTCAGAGAATGTGAGAACCTTTTTGTTCTGTGTCATCTTATGTATTTTGCTGTCTCCTGGTTCTTCAGCGTCCATGTCCCTTGAACTCTTGGCTCTCTATCCGTTTGTGTTTTTGAAAATAGCTTAGGTAGCACATGCACTCGACTGAGTACCCACTGTTCCTATGTAGTGTATCGCGCTTGTTCAAAGCCACTATCGCTCCTGATGTAGCGTAGTGATCTTTCAAATTACTGAAGTCATCCAGGCTTTATTGTACTGAAGGCAAAAAGTTGTTGATGGCTGCAATGTGTCGTGTACATTCACCCAGCTTTCTGAAATATGCAACCAACTTAGGTAATTTAGTTAGTGTAGATAGGTGGGTACTTCATACAAAAAACTTAAAATAGTTTTTATTAGTACGGTATTGGCCTTGTTAACATGAAAACAGTACAATAAAATGGCGTTATTCCGAAAGAAACTTTCGTACAAGCACCGATTACATAAGAAACTCAATTAATAATAATAATTTGCTTTTTTCCAAAACAGTACTTGTGATACAGAATGGAATTCTCAGCATTTTTACTACAGTATTGCATCCAGTTAGTACATTATCAATAAATAGAATTCTACATAGATTAAGGAAATCACAGTTCATTATTACAACAACACATTGGCATGTCAGTAGCAAGGTAAAGCTGAAACAGCGTTTGAAGGTGTTAGAAAAGTGGGAGGTGTCATATTAACCGGCGTAAGTAAGAGAAAGAAACAAAGCGGCACATAACGGAAAAAAAGAGAGAATAGGAAAAGAAAGAAAGAAAATTAAAGCTACTGCTGCTGTTTGTTTCGAGCTCGAGCAACTAGGCACATTAGCACATAGTTTGTTTGTACCACCTTATAAAACCTATTTACAACCATACCTTAATGCTCACAGCGTCGCAGCACTCCCACTCCCAGGAAGAGGCACCAGTCTCCTACAGAAAGTTCAAAAATAGCTATTAAAGCTTTATTTTGGATTGATATCGGGCGTATGATGACCGGTCGATATGCCCATCAGAGCTCAGTTACTTGGATGTGGTTCGAATTTCTCATCTTAAATCTTGTTGTTCATGCGGTTTGTTGACGAGTGACGTGGACACAAGTCCATCAGCTGGTAAATTTAGGGGAAGAATCGATCACAGTGCACAAAAGAGTATCTCTTGTAGCAGTGCTCTAACCCCATTCCTCTGCATTCACACTATGTCCATCCTTTTGATATGTATTCTAACTTTCTAGTTTGTTTGTTTATTCTTTTTTAATATTTGTGACGTATTTTCTCCTCAATTTACCTCCCAGTAATAAATATCACCACTCTAGTTTATCTCCGACTTCACTTTTACTGCGTTAATGTCCCCTTTTTCTGTGGTTTCTGATAATCTGAAGGATATTTCAGCGAAATGACAGCTCTTAATACCACTAGTGGTACTTTATTGGAATGAAACATTTTCCCCTCAAAAGATTTACAAACGCAGATTATTATGTCCACCAGAGCTGCTTTAGTCAGCAGGAAGGGACCCACCAAAGACAGATATCCAGTCAGCAAGACCAACGACTAAGAGTCAAGGGATCAACAGATTTGCATACGTTCATCATAAAGACAAAGTACTAGATGGTGGGAAAGTAGAAAGTGAGTTATCTTCACATCGACCTAAATCCCTTTGGAATAACTTTCATCACATTACCTGGGAATTTATTTATAACTATTATGAAAAGATTATCATTAAAAATTACTGTTTGTTTTTGCCCAGCAGAAATGCTGGAAACAGCAAACGCTACAGCTGTGCGCAAAATTTGAAGTTGGTGTTAGCACGGTGTTAGCAAAGTGTTGTGAATATTATGCATTTGCTAAATCAAGTAAGGCGTTCTTATCTAAGCATATCATGTTTCAGAAGCCTTTTGTTAATCAAAATCGTCTGGAAGATTTATATGAAATACAACATAAAATTGGGGAGTAAGTTCAGGTCAAGTTCGTGTACATGCGTCTAGTGGGCACTTTGCTGACGTCAATCTCAGCATATGTAAGAAAACAAATAAGAAATACGCTGCCAAATTTATCATGAAACAAAGATTCTCGTCTGGATGTCAGGGATCGAATGTTTCCGACATTGATCGTGAAGCCTTTATTTTGGCTAACCTTCAGCACGAAAATATCGTTAATTTGCATGAAGTATTTTATCGAGAGGACTCTGTGGTTTTAATTCTTGACTTGTAAGTTGTTCACATATTGCCTATTCTCCCTAATGCATTGTTGTGTATGATTTGGTACAGTTTTCTTTTTCTTTTAAATTTTACCAGTATCATGCATCTTGAAGGCATACTTCCATGATCTCTGAGTACCTAACCAAATTTCTCTGTAAAATGTACGATTCACCCTGTTTAGCGGTTCTCATCCGATTAGGAGGTAAAATAATGCTGTCTCATTCGTATGTCAGGGGAAAAATGCAGTTTCTCGTAATTACAGAACATAAGACCACGGAAATGTCTTCTCCAACGTCTTCGAAACATATTTGATTTTGAATTTTAATAACACATGCCTGTGTCATGTTGACAAGTCTTGGTTATTTATATTCTGATAGTTGGTACGTATGATTTCTACTTCTCAAAACCAGGTGCCTTCTTCCCCCATTACGGTGTACAAATAAGTTATATACTGTGTAGCGGAAACGCAAAAGTACGGTGGTTTTCGTTGAAAAAGGCTTTCATTTACAGTAGTAGAGTTCACTAATATTGTCGGTATATATTACAGCTGATGTCACTCACTACCAAACCAGTGAAACCTGTTTTACGTAAACGTCCATTCAGACCTTAGTTTTCAGTCGATTACGCAATTATAATAGGAATGCATAGTTCCACCTTATTATCCCTCTAACTGTTTAAATATCTTGTAATTAGTTGTCAAATCCTTAGTACTATACACGTTTCATCTTTCCTCTATTCGCATAAGGATACCCAGTGCAGAGTAGTCATCTATTTTTTAAAATATTGATATGCGACGGGTTGCTTTGCAAAACATGGTTAATATAACTTGTTTTTAAATTTTTTATCAGAGTGACGGGTGGTGAGTTATTTGCCCGAGTAGCTGATTGTGAGCGCCTATCAGAGGAAGAAGCATCTAATTTTGTTCAACAAATTCTTCTTGGTGTTCAACATATGCATGGCTTGGGCATAGTTCATTTAGACTTAAAGGTAATTTTACGTGTAATTTTGTTTCTTGATTGCCAATTAAATGTTTCTTAATATCTTTAAAAGACTGGGCGTTTTGACATTTTTCAGCCTGAAAACATTATGATTGAAGATCTTTCGTCAAGGAAAATAAAAATTATTGACTTCGGCCTAGCACGAGTATTAAATCCAAATGAAAGCTTTCAGGATATGGCGGGAACACCCGAATTCTGTGGTAAGTAACTTCGAATTTTTCATACTTCGTGTAGTAGTTAACATATTGCCTTTCACTTGCATATATTCAACTGGATGTGTTTTGGAAGATTCAGCAGGCTACTAAAATTGCTCAGTGTTTTTTACTGATACCTATCGATATTTTAAAACTTGAGATTATTGCAGTTAATTAAAAATTTCAATAGCTTACACTTTACGGAAATAATAAACTTACACAGAAGCATTTCTGAAGTTGTGATTGATCGATTAAAAAAAACCAATATCATTTTCTTATAAAAATTGAATCTGTTGCAATATACAATAAATAAAACTGATTGTAGTGCTTCTCTTATAGAAATCCATGGTCAGTATTTTAAAGTTTTTTCAAATAATGTATAAATCGTATTCGTAATTTGATGGCACTTCTGATCTACTTAAACCAGGAAATTAATGAAAACATTTGAGTGTTTAGTGAATTATAAGCCACACTGGTTGCACAACGTCCCAAATTTTTAGGTGAAGTATTACTCAAAATTGTGAATCACTGATGTAGTCAAAGTGTAACTGAATGCCATATTATTATTATTCCCTTGCGTTCAGAGTGGAACATAGGGCTTCAATAACACATCTACACTTTGTTATGTTTTCTGCCGTTCTCTTCATTTGGGTCCACGATTGACCAAACTCTCATCTCTTCCTCACACGATCTCCTCCATGTCACCCTCGCAATGACGACCCAATCGAGGGCCTGGCGTGCGATATCATTCGGCGGCTTCCTCAATGTATCCCTGATCCATCTCCACTTTCTCTTGCATATTTGTTGAGCGATCAGCTCCTGGTTGGTTTGTTCCTATAGTTTCTTGTTGCTTATTCTTTCTGGCCATTTCATCTTCAGTATGGAGCGAAGGGAGCAGCTGTTGATGAAAGTCTGCAACCTGTCGAAAATCTTTTTTGTGACACGCAGTGCAAGTTTCCGACCCGTGTAGAAGAACCGACTTCACATTGGTGTTGGAAATGCGAATCTTGTTCCTTATGCGGAAGATTTCCAAACTGGTTTCAGGTTGATGAAGGCGTAACTTGCCTTTCCGATTCTGACTTTGACATCTTCGTCAGTGCTGTCGCCTGTATTTGAAACGATGCTTCCCAGATAAGCGTGGAAGGCAACCTCTGTTAAATCTCTATCGTTGATGGTGATTGGTGCTGGTTGTTGTTGCTTCTGTTGATTGGTTATTTCCATCACCTCCGTCTTCTCTGTGTTTACCTGGAGTCCTGTTTTCTCTGCCTCTTCAGCCAGTTTGTTGGTTTTCGCTTGCAAGTCTTCGAGTTTGTGTGATATCAAACATATATCGTCTGCGAAATCCAGATCTTCTAGAGTCTTCTTATCGGTCAGTGAGCGTATTCCTGTCTTCTCACTCCGACGCACAGTCTTCCGCATGATCTAGTCCACCACGATAATTAGGAATATCACTGGTGATAATAGGCAGCCAGCATTGTCTTACTCCTGTATGCATGTCGAACGCCTCGCTGAGTTTTCCGTTGTGAATCACTTGACACGTGGCATTGTCATATAGCTGTTGAATGAGGTTGATAAAGACTTGAGGTGCGCCGTAGTGTTGAAGTAGTTTCCAAATTACTTCTCGGTCTACGCTGTTGAAAGCCTTCTCGAAGTCGATGAAGTTGAGGCAGAGGTTTGACTGCCATTCTATGCCTTGTTCGACGACGATGTGTAGAGTTGCGATTTGATCTGCACATTATTTGCCTTTCCTAAATCCAGCTTGTTCCTGTGGGCGGAGTTTTGTATCCTGTGCATCCCTTATTTTCACCAGGATGATGCGACTTACTATTTTACTTGGTGTGGACAAGAGCATGATTCCACACCAGTTCTTGCATTGGCCTAAGTCGCCCTTCTTTGGCAGCTTGACGAGGCAGCCTTTCTTCCAATCAGTAGGCACCATTCCTTCCTTCCAACGTTTTGCAATAATGGTAACAGCATATCTGCCGCAGTCTGTGGGTTCGGTTTCAGTGCTTCAGGGGGAATTCCGTTTGGTTCTGCTGCCTTCCCGGTCGGTGTTCAGTAGCTTGATCGCATTCACGATTTCTTCTTTCGTTGGAGGAGTGGTGTCCACCGGCAGTTCTGTGCGTGCTGTTGGTGGTATTTCTGGGCGAGTTGCCGGTGGTGGTTGATTCAAGAGCCCTTTAAAGTGATCAGCCCATTGTTTGATTTGTCTCTCCTCCTTGGTGATCAGGTTCCCTTGAGCATCTTTTATTGGTTTCGTCACCTGGGTTGATCTCTTCCCTGATAGAGACTTGGTTATCTGATAGTGTCCTGTTGTCTCTTTTGCCTGTGGCCCGTTCTGCTTCAGTTGCAAGTGTGTCGTAGAATAATCGTTTGTCTTTTCTAGCACTCTTCTTCCCTTCTTTATTTAGTGCAGTGTACATTGAACTCAGCTTCTCCTTCTGTTGTCCATCTTTGCATTGGGTCATCTCTTTCACCATCCTCTTCTCCTCGACAAGCTTCCAGGTTTCCGTTGACAGCCATTCCTTGTCTTGTCTCTTGCTTCTTCCCAGAACAGTTGTACACGTTTCCTTGAATATACCTTTTAGAGAGTTCCAATGCTCTTCCACACAGATTTCCTCAGTGATACCACGCAGTGTCTCCGACTTTGCTCTGATTTGATCTGTAGCGGAGGCATCCCTTGTAGCTTTGTCCTTCAGTTTCTGAATGTTGAACTTGAGTTGTGGTCTGTGTCCATTTGTTTTCATGGATTTCAGCTTCACTTTGAAAGTTCCTTGGACTGGATGATGGTCTGAGCTCACATCAGCTCCCCTTTTCGACTTTGTATCCAGCAGGCTAGCTGCGTCTCCACTTCCTTGAGATTGAGATGAAATCTATTTGGTTTGTGGTATGTCCGTCAGGCGAAATCCACGTTGCTTTGTGTATATCCTTGTGTTTGTACACGCTCCCTCCGATCACCAAATCGTTGAAAGAGCAGAAGTCTGCGAATAATTCCCCGTTCTCATTCATTTCTCCGAGAGCCTTTCGATCCATGATGAGTTCGCTTCCTGTGTTATCAGGTCCCAGTTTGGGATTCGTATCGCCCATGAGGGTTTTGATGTCTCCATTCTGGATGTTGTCCATTACTGTTTGTAGTTGTCTGTAAAAATCCTTCTTCTTCTTCTCTTGTTCCGTGTTGTTTGTAGCACTGTGCATAACATCGGATAATTGTTACCTTCCTTCCTTCGGAGTTGAATCTTGCTGTCATGATCCTGGGCTTTGTCTGCCACTGGTGACATCATGGCCACTCCCTCGGTGTGTTCGTGGTTGTAATCTGGGTGACCGGAGTAGATTATTGACTCTCCTGTTGACAATGTTGTCAATCCACATCCATTCCATCTGCTTTCGCAGATACCCAGTACTTCTAAGGCATATCTTCGCATCTCTTTGGCTACCTGGGCAGCCTTCCCAGCCTCCTACATTGCCCGGACATTCCACGTCCCCGTTCTTACTCTTGCTTTCATCAAGAAAAGACACGTTGGCTGACTGACTTCCTGAAGGCTTTCACCAGCCCGCTGTTTCATTTCGCCTCTTCTATTCGAGCGAAGAATAAGATTTTCATTTGAAGTTTTTGTATTTTTAGTATATTTTCTTTGTTGAATTTTCTCTAGCTGTTTGAAAAATTTAGTCTAGCTTAGGACCGGCTAGGAAACTAGAGAGCTAGTTAACTAGTGATTAACTTGATATGATTATGAGCAATAAATTGTGCTCGAAACGTCATCAGTAAATATTACTGTATAACACTGTGAGACTCTATCAAAATAAAATTTACCCATAATGGAATTACACTCTACCACAGTGCCCAAGTTTTATTCTCGTATGAAATTTTGTTGTGTATGTGACAACTGTATTAGTTACAGGCAACATTCATCGCTAAAGAAAATTTTCACTAATTCAGGACATGACTTTACATTTTCCAACATTCTTAAACCCTATTCTAAAAGTGTGACAGAGAGCATCCGTCTCAAAATATATCTATTTTTTAACCTGAAAAATTTTTCTGAAGAGAAAATTCACACTCTTCATAAAGATTGGAGTTGCTGTGAATACTACTTCGGTAAATGTTATTCAAGGAAAGTAGGTCTAGGAAAATCACAACCTAATTACCTGAAGCAATCACACAACATTATTTACTATTTAGAATTCTGGACTAAAATAAGTTCGAAAAATCAGATAATTTAACTTTAATATTGCTATGATAAATCTTGTCACAGATGGTACGCTTCTTGATTGAAAAACTCGATAGGATTACGACTTTTCTGAGTACGTCTTGTAAGTGTTTGTGAAAGTTAATGTTCCTCAAATCGTGATAAGCAAGCTGCACTACGACATTTATCACCAAGTGAGCTGTGGTTTTCGCTATTCAGGTGCTGCTTTTATTATCTTGGCTTTTAGGTGTATCAGTTTTGTAGCAAATTGTACGACATATCCTATTGAACTCTGTTGTCATTTAAATATATTAGCCAGAAATATAACTTATTTAAAAACGTTGCGTTTGATACAGTTAGTTATTTTCTGAAGATAGGCGGCATATATTTTCTGTTTTGTGATCAGTTTCCTATTATTTCTGCAAAGTATGATCCACTTTAATAAGGAGGTATAAGCTTCGTAAAATATCGCTGTGTGTTTGTTTCTTGCAGTAGAGGGAGCACATTTCCCTCCTGCACGTGATGGTTAATAGATACATTTCTTCCATTCTCTTTAGGACTGGAGTGCTGTTGTGTTTTGATTCTTTTGAACAATATTTGTACACAGTTTCTTCTATATGCTGCTGGATTATTGCTGTTGTAGTCGAGTATTTGGTCTTCGGGTGTTCGATTTCCATATACCATGGGCCCCAACACACAGTCTACTCAAAGAACTTTTTGGAAAACTAAAATATCTAACAGAATCCTGCAACCATTCTATCAAGTCGCTTACCTCATTTCTAGATAAATTAAGAATTAGTCAACAGGGTAACTGTGAAA